AGTATTTTTATGTTTGACTTCTGTATTCGGAATATGAAATATATAGTATAATAATATAGAAAGCAAGAAGAAAAATCAATAAAGAATAATAAAACTCAAATAGAAAATATAGTCAGACCTTTCTAAATACAATCTTCCTAAATGCAATACCTCCCTAAATGCATAGTAACAAGCTAGGCCCAAAACGGGATCTATAAGTAATTGCATGTTCTTTTTTCTGCAATTGCACGATACTTTTTCAGCCCAATTATAACAAGATCTCTCTATAAATGCATGCATATAATTGTTAACTAATGAAAATTTTGGCTTTTTAGTTTATTAAATACATACAGTTGGAATATTATTTACATATAATATATACAGTACACGTTCAAGAAAAAGCCTGGAAACACTATATGAATAATGCAATATCTGTTCCTATTCCGAATACAGAAGTCAAACATAAAAATACTCTTTATGAGGAAAAAGGTTTATTGCTAGTACTTTTTGAAAAACAAGGGTCAGCTAGTACAAAGGGTTGGCCCCATTCCAATATCATAACTTGGCCAATCTCTTAAATGCAGTAAGTTTACTATATCCTCATACAATATTAATAAAGTGAAAGTTTTTTTTTATATAAATAGTTATTTTAATAAACTACTATTAAATAGTTTATTTTAAAATCATTTGATTAATGTATAAAAAAAATAAATAAAATAATTATGCCTCCTGGCATCCCTTACCAGAAGAGGTTTTTTTAAAAAAAAATAGAAGAGTCATTTGAAATAATTTAAAGCATTAAATATTTTGCTCAGATTTGTAATCCAGTTACCCATGTTAAATAAGGGGGTTTTTTTTTATTGTCTGCAAAAAGATTTAGAGTTTTTGCCTTGAAAAAGATATTATGAAACACAGTAATTACTACATCCCATAAGATCATTTTCAAGGCAAAAACTCATTTTATTCTACAATTATAGTAGATAGTATAAACAAATAACAGAAAAAGAAACCTTAAACTAATTCACTACTTTTTATTTTATCGATTTGCTCTCTGTAAAATTGATTCCAAGATGATTACATGTAATACCATATAACTATCGCTTCAATAACACTACAGTATTACTTTGCATCAAATAGATTCATTAAAAAAAAATGTTTTTAAGAGCTAACCATCATATAGATTAGATTTTTTAAGAGAGTTCAATAAAATGAAAAGTAAAAACCAGTTTACAGGTTTTTTCTTTTTGTCACTCAAATATTCCCAACAAATTTTCAAGCATATAAATACACAGATGCAGTGTATCTAAAATACAATCATTTGACTTTAGTTACCTCAACAACTTTCAAGCATTATTCTTGTTTATTCTTGCTGTTTCTATAAATCATTAAAAGCAGATTATTGTTAGCAAAACATAGATAGTCTTATTCATTTAAATTACTAATAGAACTTAAAATAATACTTATCTTTATTGGCGTTAACTATTATTTTCCAATAAAGCTAGTTCCTAAAATATACTTAGACAAATCAATTTTAATAAGTGATTACTTATATAATCATTGTTATCTAATTAGTGTTAAAGTGTCCAAACTTTTGCAATTTCAGTGATTTTTCATTGTTTAAACAATGAAAATCTCTGAAATCACATAAGTCTGGATACTCTAATTAGTGTTTTGAGTACAATAGTAGTAGAATTTGTGCAAAATTCTGCTTCTGACCTAAGATAAAGAACAATAAATATGCAAAAATTAGTGATGGATAAGTATCGATTGAATTCTATTAACTTTATTGAGGTTTTTTATTTTCAACTCCATTTATTAGGATTGTTTTTTTTTGATTTTTTTTTTTTATTTTTTTTTTAATAAAATACTGCAATACATGAGTAGGTTGTCTATATTTTTTTTT